CCTCCTTCTCTTAGTTTAGTCCTTCCACACACTCACACAGCCTCCTTCTCTGAGTTTAGTCCTTCCACACACTCACACAGCCTCCTTCTCTGAGTTTAGTCCTTCCACACACTCACACGGCCTCCTTCTCTGAGTTTCAGGCCTTCCACACACTCACACGGCCTCCTTCTCTGAGTTCAGGCCTTCTACACACTCACACGGCCTCCTTCTCTGAGTTTAGTCCTTCCACACACTCACACGGCCTCCTTCTCTGAGTTTAGACCTTCTACACACTCACACAGCCTCCTTCTCTGAGTTTAGGCCTTCCACACACTCACACGGCCTCCTTCTCTGAGTTTAGGCCTTCCACACACTCACACGGCCTCCTTCTCTGAGTTTAGGCCTTCCACACACTCACACGGCCTCCTTCTCTGAGTTTAGACCTTCCACACACTCACACGGCCTCCTTCTCTGAGTTCAGGCCTTCCACACACTCACACGGCCTCCTTCTCTGAGTTTAGGCCTTCCACACACTCACACGGCCTCCTCTCTCTGAGTTTAGGCCTTCCACACACTCACACGACCTCCTCCTCTGAGTTCAGGCCTTCCACACACTCACACTGCCTCCTTCTCTTAGTTTAGTCCTTCCACACACTCACACGGCCTCCTTCTCTGAGTTCAGGCCTTCCACACACTCACACGGCCTCCTTCTCTGAGTTTAGTCCTTCCACACACTCACACGGCCTCCTTCTCTGAGTTTAGGCCTTCCACACACTCACACGGCCTCCTTCTCTGAGTTTAGGCCTTCCACACACTCACACGGCCTCCTTCTCTGAGTTTAGGCCTTCTACACACTCACACGGCCTCCTTCTCTGAGTTTAGGCCTTCTACACACTCACACGGCCTCCTTCTCTGAGTTTAGTCCTTCCACACACTCACACGGCCTCCTTCTCTGAGTTTAGGCCTTCCACACACTCACACGGCCTCCTTCTCTGAGTTTAGGCCTTCTACACACTCACACGGCCTCCTCCTCTGAGTTCAGGCCTTCCACACACTCACACAGCCTCCTTCTCTTAGTTTAGTCCTTCCACACACTCACACGGCCTCCTTCTCTGAGTTCAGGCCTTCCACACACTCACACGGCCTCCTTCTCTGAGTTCAGGCCTTCCACACACTCACACAGCCTCCTTCTCTTAGTTTAGTCCTTCCACACACTCACACGGCCTCCTTCTCTGAGTTCAGGCCTTCCACACACTCACACGGCCTCCTTCTCTGAGTTTAGTCCTTCCACACACTCACACGGCCTCCTTCTCTGAGTTTAGGCCTTCCACACACTCACACGGCCTCCTTCTCTGAGTTTAGGCCTTCTACACACTCACACGACCTCCTCCTCTGAGTTTAGGCCTTCCACACACTCACACGGCCTCCTCTCTGAGTTTAGGCCTTCCACACACTCACACGGCCTCCTTCTCTGAGTTTAGGCCTTCTACACACTCACACGACCTCCTCCTCTGAGTTTAGGCCTTCCACACACTCACACGGCCTCCTCCTCTGAGTTTAGTCCTTCCACACACTCACACGGCCTCCTTCTTCTCTGAGTTCAGGCCTTCCACACACTCACACGGCCTCCTTCTCTGAGTTTAGGCCTTCCACACACTCACACAGCCTCCTTCTCTGAGTTTAGTCCTTCCACACACTCACACGGCCTCCTTCTCTGAGTTTAGGCCTTCCACACACTCACACGGCCTCCTTCTCTGAGTTTAGACCTTCTACACACTCACACAGCCTCCTTCTCTGAGTTTAGACCTTCCACACACTCACACGGCCTCCTTCTCTGAGTTTAGTCCTTCCACACACTCACACAGCCTCCTTCTCTGAGTTTAGGCCTTCTACACACTCACATTGCCTCCTTCTCTGAGTTCAGGCCTTCCACACACTCACATTGCCACCTTCTCTGAGTTTAGACCTTCTACACACTCACATGGCCTCCTTCTCTGAGTTTAGGCCTTCCACACACTCACACGGCCTCCTTCTCTGAGTTTAGACCTTCACACACTCACACGGCCTCCTCCTCTGAGTTCAGGCCTTCCACACACTCACACGGCCTCCTCCTCTGAGTTTAGGCCTTCCACACACTCACACGGCCTCCTCCTCTGAGTTCAGGCCTTCCACACACTCACACTGCCTCCTTCTCTGAGTTTAGTCCTTCCACACACTCACACGGCCTCCTTTCTCTGAGTTCAGGCCTTCCACACACTCACACGGCCTCCTTCTCTGAGTTTAGGCCTTCCACACACTCACACGGCCTCCTTCTCTGAGTTTAGGCCTTCCACACACTCACACAGCCTCCTTCTCTGAGTTTAGACCTTCCACACACTCACACGGCCTCCTTCTCTGATTTTAGGCCTTCCACACACTCACACGGCCTCCTTCTCTGAGTTTAGGCCTTCTACACACTCACACGGCCTCCTTCTCTGAGTTTAGGCCTTCTACACACTCACACGACCTCCTCCTCTGAGTTCAGGCCTTCCACACACTCACACAGCCTCCTTCTCTTAGTTTAGTCCTTCCACACACTCACACGGCCTCCTTCTCTGAGTTCAGGCCTTCCACACACTCACACGGCCTCCTTCTCTGAGTTTAGGCCTTCTACACACTCACACAGCCTCCTTCTCTTAGTTTAGTCCTTCCACACACTCACACGGCCTCCTTCTCTGAGTTCAGGCCTTCCACACACTCACACGGCCTCCTTCTCTGAGTTTAGTCCTTCCACACACTCACACGGCCTCCTTCTCTGAGTTTAGGCCTTCTACACACTCACACGGCCTCCTTCTCTGAGTTTAGGCCTTCTACACACTCACACGACCTCCTCCTCTGAGTTCAGGCCTTCCACACACTCACACGACCTCCTCCTCTGAGTTCAGGCCTTCCACACACTCACACGGCCTCCTTCTCTGAGTTTAGGCCTTCTACACACTCACACGACCTCCTCCTCTGAGTTCAGGCCTTCCACACACTCACACAGCCTCCTTCTCTTAGTTTAGTCCTTCCACACACTCACACGGCCTCCTTCTCTGAGTTCAGGCCTTCCACACACTCACACGGCCTCCTTCTCTGAGTTCAGGCCTTCCACACACTCACATAGCCTCCTTCTCTTAGTTTAGTCCTTCCACACACTCACACGGCCTCCTTCTCTCAGTTCAGGCCTTCCACACACTCACACGGCCTCCTTCTCTGAGTTTAGACCTTCCACACACTCACACGGCCTCCTTCTCTGAGTTTAGTCCTTCCACACACTCACACAGCCTCCTTCTCTGAGTTTAGACCTTCCACACACTCACACGGCCTCCTTCTCTGAGTTCAGGCCTTCCACACACTCACACGGCCTCCTTCTCTGAGTTTAGACCTTCCACACACTCACACGGCCTCCTTCTCTGAGTTCAGGCCTTCCACACACTCACACGGCCTCCTTCTCTGAGTTTAGACCTTCCACACACTCACACGACCTCCTCCTCTGAGTTCAGACCTTCCACACACTCACACGACCTCCTCCTCTGAGTTCAGGCCTTCCACACACTCACACTGCCTCCTTCTCTTAGTTTAGTCCTTCCACACACTCACACGACCTCCTTCTCTGAGTTCAGGCCTTCCACACACTCACACGGCCTCCTTCTCTGAGTTTAGACCTTCCACACACTCACACGGCCTCCTTCTCTGATTTTAGGCCTTCCACACACTCACACGGCCTCCTTCTCTGAGTTTAGGCCTTCTACACACTCACACGACCTCCTCCTCTGAGTTCAGGCCTTCCACACACTCACACAGCCTCCTTCTCTTAGTTTAGTCCTTCCACACACTCACACGGCCTCCTTCTCTGAGTTCAGGCCTTCCACACACTCACACGGCCTCCTTCTCTGAGTTTAGTCCTTCCACACACTCACACGGCCTCCTTCTCTGAGTTTAGGCCTTCTACACACTCACACGACCTCCTCCTCTGAGTTCAGGCCTTCCACACACTCACACGGCCTCCTTCTCTGAGTTTAGGCCTTCTACACACTCACACGACCTCCTCCTCTTAGTTTAGTCCTTCCACACACTCACACGGCCTCCTTCTCTGAGTTCAGGCCTTCCACACACTCACACGGCCTCCTCCTTTGAGTTTAGACCTTCTACACACTCACACAGCCTCCTTCTCTGAGTTTAGGCCTTCTACACACTCACACGACCTCCTCCTCTGAGTTCAGGCCTTCCACACACTCACACAGCCTCCTTCTCTTAGTTTAGTCCTTCCACACACTCACACGGCCTCCTTCTCTGAGTTCAGGCCTTCCACACACTCACACGGCCTCCTTCTCTGAGTTTAGGCCTTCTACACACTCACACGACCTCCTCCTCTGAGTTCAGGCCTTCCACACACTCACACGGCCTCCTTCTCTGAGTTTAGGCCTTCTACACACTCACACGGCCTCCTTCTCTGAGTTTAGGCCTTCTACACACTCACACGACCTCCTCCTCTGAGTTCAGGCCTTCCACACACTCACACGGCCTCCTTCTCTGAGTTTAGGCCTTCTACACACTCACACGACCTCCTCCTCTGAGTTCAGGCCTTCCACACACTCACACAGCCTCCTTCTCTTAGTTTAGTCCTTCCACACACTCACACGGCCTCCTTCTTTGAGTTCAGGCCTTCCACACACTCACACGGCCTCCTTCTCTGAGTTCAGGCCTTCCACACACTTACACAGCCTCCTTCTCTTAGTTTAGTCCTTCCACACACTCACACGGCCTCCTTCTCTGAGTTCAGGCCTTCCACACACTCACACGGCCTCCTTCTCTGAGTTTAGGCCTTCTACACACTCACACGGCCTCCTTCTCTGAGTTTAGGCCTTCTACACACTCACACGACCTCCTTCTCTGAGTTCAGGCCTTCCACACACTCACACGGCCTCCTTCTCTGAGTTTAGTCCTTCCACACACTCACACAGCCTCCTTCTCTGAGTTTAGACCTTCTACACACTCACACAGCCTCCTTCTCTGAGTTCAGGCCTTCCACACACTCACACGGCCTCCTTCTCTGAGTTTAGGCCTTCCACACACTCACACGGCCTCCTTCTCTGAGTTTAGGCCTTCCACACACTCACACGGCCTCCTTCTCTGAGTTCAGGCCTTCCACACACTCACACGGCCTCCTTCTCTGAGTTTAGGCCTTCCACACACTCACACGGCCTCCTTCTCTGAGTTTAGGTCTTCCACACACTCACACGGCCTCCTCCTCTGAGTTTAGGTCTTCCACACACTCATACGACCTCCTCCTCTGACTTTAGCCCTTCAACACACTCACACGGCCTCCTTCTCTGAGTTTAGGTCTTCCACACACTCACACGGCCTCCTTCTCTGAGTTTAGGTCTTCCACACACTCACACGGCCTCCTTCTCTGAGTTTAGGTCTTCCACACACTCACACGGCCTCCTCCTCTGACTTTAGCCCTTCAACACACTCACATGGCCTCCTCATAACATACAGCACCTTTAATCAGTCTGATCATCCTGCCACATGTGTAAAAGTACAGCAGAGGTGTGACTCCAGTGTCAACCAATCACATGTTGTGTGCTGCAGGTGATGGACATCATCATGTACTGTATCGAAGGGTCTCTGGTGAAGAAGAAAGGCTTGTCCGAGTGTTTCCCGGCCGTCTGCAGGTCAGTGCATTAAACAGCGTTAATATTACAGCGTTATTCACATACTTTTACAGTTTTCAATTAGCTTTTATTTTTATAGTTTTATAGTTGTGCTTTAATTTTTGTTACATTTCTTTTTTTCATTATAATTATTAGGTTTTGTTTTTTAAAAATAAAAGAATTCTAAATAGTTGTCATTTATCATAAGTTAGTAATTTTAGTACTTTTTCAAGTTTAAGTTTTAAACTATATAGTTTCAGTTTTGAATTTGAGTATTTTGTATTTTTACAGTTTTGTTTATTAGGTTTTTGAATTTTTTAAGTTAGTAATTTTAGCATTTAATTTATTTCAAATAAAATAAAATAAACTTATTTCAGTTGCTAAAGCAACATTTCTAATTTTTATTTCGTTTTTCACGTTTTTCATCTAATATTTATATTTTAATTTTTAGTTAAAATTCTTTTGTCATTTTTATTTGGTTTCGGTTTTTAAAAAAATGTCTAAATATTTAAAATATTTAAAGTTTTGTTTGTAATTTATTATAATTTAGTAATTCATTTCAAATTTAAGCTTTAAACTATATAGAAACTTGAAGTTGGTAATTTAGCATGTGTTTTATTTTAAGTTTAAACTTAAACTTTTAAGTTTAAACTCATTTCAGTTATAGTAATTGCCAAGGCAACATTTTTAGTTTCCATTTAGTTTTAGTTTTTTCATCAAATATTTATATTTGCCAGATTGGAAAATTAAAGTTAATTCTGTAATTCAGTAATTAGTGACGTTTGTGGTGTTTTATTAGTTGGACACTGATATACTTCTGAATCTGATGACGGGTCAAACGAGCCGCTCATTGATTTTAAAGGGTCAGAGGTCAAACCTCAAATGACAGCGATTGATGCAAATTTGATGGATTAAATCCATATATAGGCTGAACCAAATTTGCATACTATCATTATAATGTACAAGAAGTATGCAACATTAACTTTTCAAACATTAGTATACTAATGTACTAATTTAGCATGCTATTCAATTATCTCAGAAATAAATTACTTTTGTATTTTAAAAGTAATACATCACTTTGCATGTATTTTATGACAAAAAAAGTTATAATTCATTACTGAGTAAATAAAAATGATACTGTGAAAAAATACAAAAATTATTTTAGCATGCCAATTACATCAGAAATAAGTTGGTTTTGATTTTTTTTATAAAAAATATATTTCATTTTGGAGAAAAATTTGATATTGAAAACGATTATTTAAATGATTTAGAAACTATATTTTGTAGAGAAATTAATATTTATTTAAAATGATTTATAAATTAATTTTTTAGAAACTTTTTTTAATTACTCTTAATTAAATGATTGTTGTATAAAAATAATAATGGCCAAGAAAGATTAATATCGAGGTTGATTTAACGCCCTGTATTTGGATGGTCAAGTGGAGTGCAGATTATCCATCATGCACTGCAGGAGTCGCCTCAGTAGTGCTAGTGTGCTGCTCTGTGTTAGTATGCAGTGTGTTGACTCTGAGATATTCTCCATCTCTCTCTCCGCAGGTTTTATATGGTGGCGTATTGCGATCGCAGTTATCGCATCGCTGTCGGCGCCCGGCAGGGTTCAGTGGCCCTTTATGATGTTCGCACTGGGAAGTGCCAGGTGAGAGTGTGTGTGTCTGTGTTGATGTGCGACGGGATGTGTGTGTTGAGTGTGGGTTCACCTGGAGTGCAGGTGTGTGTCGGAGGGCAGAGGGCAGGTGTGAGCAGGCAGAGGTGCATGATGGGAAACGCTGCCCTGCAGAGCTGGAAATTGTGTGATCGACCCGGTCCAGGTGACCGTGATGTCACAGCTGGGGTCACATGATGAGTCTGAGCTCTCTCTCTCTCTGTGTGTGTGTGTGTGTGTGTGTGTGTGTCAGTCATACTGTCAGAGAAACACACTGACTCTGGGATGAGTTGATAAGACAGACCTCTGCGCGCACTCATACTCATACACACACATGCTCACATACACACACATACACAAACATACTCACACTCACATACTCTGACACACAGATACACTCTCACATATACACTCCCATACAAATTCACACATACACTCACACTCTCTCACACTTATACACACACACTCTCACATTAGTAGTATGTGTGTGTGTTTGAGACAGTTAGATTTGGCCTCACAGCTGAATTGATTGAAGGATTGATTTTAGGCTGTTTACAGTTGTGAAGATCAAATCTCTCTGAAATTGTCGTCTGGGGAATCCAGCGATCAGATCATATGTGCATCCCATAATGCCCTCAACATGACCATCACTGATCACATGATTTTCATCAGAATCTGAAACACAAACATTGCGTCCTCCAGAGTGTGTGTGTGTGTGTGTGTGTCCGGTCACTCTGCACACCATCTGTCCTCTCTTTGATCTGTGAAGTGGACAGCCGGACTACAGACGTCTGCTGCATTTACTAATTAAACACACTGTGTGTGTGTGTGTGTGTGTGTGTGTGTGTTTTGTCCGAATCTCCTGATGCAGCACATTTTCCCATCAGCTTCTCCTGCACGATTGTTCTGTTGCGTTGGTCAATACGCTGTTCATACACACTCATCATATAGTCTGGTTCACATCGCAGCTTATTCTGGTTCGCCCGTTTAAACAGGAAGTGAATTCAGCAATTAAATCAGCCTGGACCGTTTAGACTGTTTTGTAGGTCATTTCGGTCTTAACACTAATAAAGCCCGACACACACTACCAGTCAAAAGTTTTGAATCTGAAAGATTTTTTAAAGTTGTCTCTTCGGCTCACCAAATCTGCATTTATTTGATAAAAAAATAGAGTAAAATAGTGTGTGAATAGATTCACTTGTTAACATTAAATATCAAATAAATTAGGATAATATCTCTTTATTATCTGTATTATTCAGCTGTGCGTGACATTGTCTTTATGGGTTTTAAATCACACGTAGAAAGTCATAAATTCTATAGTTTATTTTCATGAGGAGAAACAATTTTGAACGTGTGTTTTGCCGTCTGGAGGAGTTTTGGATGAAGCGTCGTGATTTGACAGGCCAATATCTCCGCCGTCAGATTTTCATTACACACGCGGGTCGGGTGATGCTGTTTTCATTGCGTTTCATCTTTAATTGTAAGAGATTACTTTAGTTTTGAGCTGTCATAAAGCCGCATGTGTCTTTAATCCAATCGCTCCATTATGAGGCCCGTTCCTTGTGACAGCGATGGGTTATTGCTTTACACCGTCTGTTTGTCATTCCCACATGATGAGCTGATGTTCATTTCAGCATGTCAACACATTGACTGGCGGTTATAGACCATTTCACAAGATGTAAACAACACTGCTCCAGAAGCACTTCCTGTTTCAGTTTGTAACTGTTTTCTTTATTTCACATCTAAAGAAAACATCTTAAAGATGTTTAACTTTTTGATTCAGTTTTAAATGTTCTGTTGGTTGTATTTTATCTCAGCTCTTATGTAGTGTTAAAAAACTGAAACAGGAAGTGCTTCTGGACCAGTGTTGTTTACATCTTGTGAAATGGTCTATACAGACGTCTGCGAGCAGATGATGCTCTGCTGTTGGGGAACGTGTTCATCTGAAGCCTCGGCTTTGCAGGTTTAGGGAAAGACAAATCTCTGGGGCCGGTTTCACAAAGCTATGTTAGACAAGTCTCAAATTTGCTCTTAGACTAGTCTAATGCAAGTTAGACAGTTTCACAAAATTAAAGACTGACTTAATTTAGACCAATAAAATTAGACACCTTTCCCCCTGACTAACTTAGGTCTCAGACTCTGTTACCATAGCAACCAGCAGTGACAATCATTTACATTATAAACAGCCGAAAGAAAACATAGGCGACTGTCCACCGTATATATTTATCACCATTTCAGTGTCATTAAGTTTCTCTTGGGGTCCTCCTCCTGTTTTTGGATATTTCCTCTTTAATATTTCTTTTTTGGCATCTTGTACCATGTTTTTGTAGCCTGGATGCCAGCCCGAACCCCGCCCACAACATTTTTTGTCAAAAAATGATCGGGCCAATCAAATTGCCAGGGCGGTCTTTATACGATGATGGACAGATGATCTGCAAGGACGTAATCAACTTAACATTTTAATACACGAAAAGAAAACTGCAATCAAGGCATTTGTCGATCGGAAATATATGTTTGCCGTCCTTCCTACATGATTCGGCAATTATCAGCTGGCTCTGACGATCGCTAAGTTAAGAAGATGGGACGTAACGAAAAGCCTGTGGTCGTTGTGGTTTCTCCTTTGGTCGCACTCATGGAGGACCAAGTAAAAGAAGCAACACTCGTTATTTTACTTATAATACAAATACAAAGTAGTTGACTTACGCCGCCTTCACACTGGCAGTTGAAATCAGCTCCGATGCGGCTGCGAAACGACCGGAAGTCATTCATTTCCTATGGAGATTCGCAGACCGCATGCGAATGGGTCCGAAACGGGTCCGACCGAGTGCGGTGCGAAGAAAATCGTGTCCGTTGGTCATCCGGATGCGTTCAAAAATTTGAACTCGTGCGAAAAGCTACGTACGGTTCCTATCCGACAATTCCAGCGGAAGTTGAGCGTTGCTATGGTACTGATAAACAAACCTGAATTATTAACTTTTAATAAAATAAATTATGATTTTATAACGATAAGTTGTCGTGTCATTTTTTATTTTCATGACTTTCTAACGTTTATAAGGGCAGTTAATACAATTAAATTGAAGGTAGACATTGAACTATTGACCACTATATCAAATATTTTAGCCGACATGACATGTCAACGTATCATCAGAGCGATCATACAGATTCAGAACTGACAGAATCAAACTTTAATGATAATAAAAATAAAACAGAATCAAACTTTAATCTCTCTCTCCGCCATTTTTGTTCTACCCGTGTTCGACGCTTTTCACTGTGTAGTACGACGTCCGTTGGGAACGTATTGCGTATTACGGAGCTGATTTCAACTGCCAGTGTGAAGGCGGCGTAACTGCGTTGCTCTGATTTGTTGTAGGTCTACCGACTATCCAATTGAGTTTTTTGTTTTTTTTCCCTGGTTCGGTTAAGACACGCCTCATAATCAAAGCCCTATGGAGCAGTATCAGATTCACATTCTGACAAGAATATGAGTATGACGAAGTCAGGCTAATGTTTTTGTATCTTTTCTGTACGTCTTTAACGCTACGCTCAACGGTCGGATCAACGCTGTTAACTTTGTCCAAATGAAACATTCCTTCTTGTTTCTACATTCTCCGCTAAATTTCCCCAGTAAAATGTCCTTGTAATTGTTATACTCCTCCAACACACACAAATCTTCCGCTGGGGTAAACTGCACTGAGCGGTTGAATGCGCTTACTCGATCCACCATGTTTTTTTGTTTTGAAAAGTGTCTTATTTTACCCAGAATGCATTACAGTGTAGTCCTACTTAAGATAGTCAGAGTCTTCAGTGCTTTGTGCAACGGTCTGATTTAGATCTTTATCTGAAGTCTGACTATCTACTATATCAAAGCCGTAAAATTTACGGAGTAGATATAATAATAATAATTTTTATAATAATATAATTATAATATTTTTTTTCACGTTTTGAGCATAGACCTGAAAATTATATTATATAATCTTGAATGCTTTAAAGCACAGACTAAGTTTGATCTTTTTTTTTCAAAGACGACATTTGACTTAGTATTGCTGAAGTGAAATAAGTTTTAAAAAGTGAACTTGAAAAAAGTTACTGAATTCTAAGTTTAATTTTATGAAAAAATGCCCAAAAATACTTTGAAAAAAAAAACCGAAAGGCATAAATCTAAACAAGTTGTGTTTCAAATTAGAGCTTGATATCTCAAATAATGAGCTTTCAGTCAGGCTGCAGTACCAAAAGTTTTCACTAGATGAAGTTCATCTTCCATTCATTTCCAATGCGCTCATTTTGAATCGTAATGAATACATAACTATAGAAATTGCAATAACATGTAAACCTGCGCTTTTTTACACAGCATATTCACGGGCATAAAGGACCAATAACAGCAGTTTCCTTCGCACCAGACGGACGTTACCTGGCCACTTACTCCAACGCTGATAGCCACATCTCATTCTGGCAGGTAAACACCCCTGACCTCTGACCTCTAGCTTGAAGAAGTCATTTCACACATGCATTCATTTTTGTCAACACTTGAATGTGGGTAAGTTTCATAAAAAAGCTATATTTTGAACAAAAAGCTGATAAAATCGTGTTTTTGTCTAAGACTTTGTCCTCATCATATTTAGAGGTGCGTGTGTGTGTGAGAGAGAGAGAGTGGGGCTGAGCTTGTGTGTTTAAAGTTAATAATTGGCATGTGCGTCATCAATGCTTCTATCGCTTGTTTCTGCTTCTCCTGTGTTTTGATCAGAAGATTCTGCACTCTTTCAGGAGATGTGTAACAGCGCTCCTTACTGTATAACTGGGGAAACATGGATTTCCAGAAAATTCCATGAATTACAGGGAAAAAGTTAAACATGAATGAACTATAAGCGTAGTCTATTTTAAATGTGTGTGTAGGGTCACGTCTCGTGAGCGTCTGTCTTCTTAAGCAGGTCTTTCAGAAACACTCGTCGTCTTCTCTTCCTGCGTGCGTGTGCGTGTGTGTGTAAGAATGTCTTCCAGGCTAATGGTATCATTACTGTAAGGGTAAACCATGCAGTCTGAATGGTGTGTGTGTGCTAATGAACACTGGAGTCCTCAGGGTCCTCACGTTGCCCAGGCTGGGATGAGGGCGACTGGCCGTCTGACACCACTGAAGCCCTACCCCTCTCTGGAGCACTGGAGGAACACGTGTGTGTGTGTGTGTGTGCGTGTGTCATGTTTTTTGAGGGTTTGTAGACTGACTGACTCAGTGTGTGGGAACTCTATATCTTCTTGTGGATGTGTGTGTTTCACTTATCTTACATGGTATCATCTCATGTTCAGATTTGTCATATTTGTTCAGATTTCTGTTTTTTGCCATCTCAGGTGTTACTGACATCTCTCTCTCAATTCAAGTTTAATTTTATTCCAAAGCAGTGATATACATTAAATATATATATACATATGACTACCTGTCTACCTTTATCTATCTAATTTTCTGTCTATCTATCTATCTATCTATCTATCTATCTATCTATCTATCTATCTATCTATCTATCTATCTATCTATCTATCTATCTGTTTATCTGTCTGTCTGTCTTTCTATCTATCTATCTATCTATCTATCTATCTATCTATCTATCTATCTATCTATCTGTCTGTCTGTCTGTCTGTCTGTATGTCTATTTATCTTTCTATCTGTTTATCTGTCTTTCTTTCTGTCTGATTATCTATCTTTCTATATTTCTATCTATCTTTCTACCCGTCTGTCTATCTTTCTATCTGTTTATCTATCTGTCTGTTAATCTATCTATCTATCTATCTATCTATCTATCTATCTATCTGTGTTTATCTATCTATATGCCTGTCTATCTATCTTTCTGTCTGTCTAGCTATCTATCTATCTGTCTGTCTGTCTATCTATCTTTCTATCTATCTGTCTGTTTATCTATCTATCTATCTATCTATCTATCTATCTATCTATCTGTGTTTATCTATCTATATGCCTGTCTATCTATCTTTCTGTCTGTCTAGCTATCTGTTTGACTATCTATCTATCTGTTTCTGTCTGTCTATTTATCTTTCTGTCTGTCTGTCTGTCTATCTTTCTGTCTAACTATCTATCTTTCTATCTGTCTATTTATATTTCTATCCGTCTATCTTTTTGTCTGTTTATCTGTCTATCTTTCTGTCTGTCTACCTATCTGTCTGTTTATCTATCTGTCTGTCTATCTCTCTATCTGTCTGTCTATCTTTCTGTCAGTCTATCTATCTACCTGTCTGTCTGTCTGTCTGTCTGTCTGTCTGTCTGTCTGTCTGTCTGTCTGGCTATCTATCTGTCTGTCTATTTATCTTTCTATCTGTTTGTCTGTCTATCTTTCTGATTATCTATCTTTCTATCTATCTATCTATCTTTCTACCCGTCTGTCTATCTTTCTATCTGTTTATCTATCTGTCTGTTATCTATCTATCTATCTGTCTGTCTGTCTATCTATCTTTCTATCTATCTGTCTGTTTATCTATCTATCTATCTGTGTTTATCTATCTATATGCCTGTCTATCTATCTTTCTGTCTGTCTAGCTATCTGTTTGACTATCTATCTGTTTCTGTCTCTCTATTTATCTTTCTGTCTGTCTGTCTGTCTATCTTTCTGTCTAACTATCTATCTTTCTATCTGTCTATTTATATTTCTATCCGTCTATCTTTTTGTCTGTTCATCTATCTGTCTGTTAATCTATCTATCTATCTGTCTATCTATCTTTCTATCTATCTGTCTGTTTATCTATCTATCTATCTGTGTTTATCTATCTATATGCCTGTCTATCTATCTTTCTGTCTGTCTAGCTATCTGTTTGACTATCTATCTGTTTCTGTCTCTCTATTTATCTTTCTGTCTGTCTGTCTGTCTATCTTTCTGTCTAACTATCTATCTTTCTATCTGTCTATTTATATTTCTATCTGTCTATCTCTGTCTGTTGTAAAACTCTGGTACAGTCTGACATTAATGATTATGGAGATCTTACAGTGTGACACTGCTTACAGCGATGATCATGTTTGTACAGTCTGACAAGCAACAATCGTGTAGGACTCTTATAAAACACCCCCCCCCCCCCCCCCCCTCTCTCTTTGTGTTTCAGATGAACACGTCTCTGTTAGGAAGCATCGGGATGTTGAATTCTGCTCCTCAGCTCCGATGCATCAAAACCTATCAGGTTCCCCCGGTCCAGCCGGCATCGCCCGGATCCCAGAACGCCCTCAAACTCGCCCGGCTCATCTGGACCTCCAACCGCAATGTCATCCTCATGGCTCACGACGGCAAGGAGCATCGCTTCATGGTCTGAGGGGTCAAAGGTCGCTTTTCCTAGTGTCCAGTGGGCAGCTGTATCCAGTTTACACTCTCCGCACCCGTTTCATTCCTCTTTTTATTTATAGTGTTTGCAATTTCCCTCTTTTTTTGACTATTTATGGAGACGATAAAGGACTGCAGGTCGTTAAAACGTGTGTTTACGTGTGTTTTTGCGCTTGAAGGTCAAGCAAGGTTTTGGTCGTATATTTTTTTTTTATTCACTCACTTTGTTATATTGTTTGATCCACTCAAAATCACTCACTTGATTCACCGAAACTATTCTATCATTCCAAGATTTATAAATGAATTAAAACTCACTCAAGCATACATTTTACTCATGGTACTTTCTACTTGTTAATGTCTAAAGATCCTGTCCTGAAACGAGACTGAGAAATTACATTATTTATAATCAAAGAATCATCATTCGCACTGAATGACTAGAATCATATCGTGATATTGTGTATCATAGGAATTATTTTCAGGAATGGTTTTTATTTGAGCTTGTGGTGTAGTTGTGAATTGTTTCGGTTAGCTTTTGTCTGTTTGTGTTTGTGTGAGTCGCTGGTTGGTGTGAAATACACATGTAAAAACATCAGTCTTGTTCGCTTCTTTCCCACCTCTGCACGCCGTCTGCTGTAATCCACAGAGCGAGACATACAGACGACTTCAGTGTTTCAAGAAAGCAGAATATATTTGGTATTTCATCTCCAAATCAAAATATATATATATATATATTTGTGCAAAGAACTATTTTAGGACTATTAAGGTTTTTATGCAATTTCTTCATGACAATTAAACACATTTCCAAGCTCAAATTCTCGTTAGAAATCTCATTCTTAAACTGCAATGCATTAATAAACATTCAAATACATTAATACAATTAATTATTCTAAATTAACGTAATATATATGTGTATTATAATTTATACATATATATTTTAATTTCCTCTTTTTGGCTCGAATTGTTGTGTAAATGGAAATAAATAAATGTTTATCTATAGATTAAATGTGAAATGCTCAAGACTCTTTTGCTTCAGACCAAACGTGACAGTTAAACACATTTCTGGGCTCAAATTCTCAACACTGTAAAATAAGTTGTTCTCATACTGTAATGTGGTGATAAACATTAAAAAATAATAATAAAATGGATTATTCTGAATTAAAAACTGCATACATTTTAATATGATTTTAATGAAGCATTAAATGTGTTTGTGTGAATATGCAATTAAATCTTAATGGTCCTAAAACAGGCTACAGTTGATGCTTTTCAAGTCTGAGAGAGAAAATAAAAGACACTTTCCCCTCGATGCTTCCATCAGAGAAATAATAGTTTATTGATATCCTGAAACATGAGTTATTAAGAATCCAGTTGAGAGAAAGTTTTTTGAGATTTCTGAGTTCAGAATAACATTTGCATTATGAAGGTCTGTCTCGTTTTTGAAAGAGAGAGAGTAAGTGTGTGAGATTGTTTCTATGATGTGACTTATGTGTCTGTTTAGTCTAATGGAAAAGTCCTTGAACGTTCCTTGAACGGACGCAAAATTTTAATCATAGGATGATTGATTTTTTCCCTGCATATATTAGTTATTTCCTCTCTCTCGCTGCTGTATGATGTTCACGCTTTCCGTGTTGCACGGATCCGTCACAGGCGACTTTGATGCAGCTTGTTGTGTAAATGGTAATAAATAAAAATGCTTTATCGATAGATTATAAATGTGAAACGCTCAAGACTTGTAGTTCCAGACCTTCAAACCCACAGGTGTGTAAGTGTGTGTATGTGTGTGTGTGTGTGTGTGTTTGTGTGTGTGGAATAATTGTTCAACATTCACTATATCAGGCTGTGCTTTAATACTGTTACTGGAAAAACAATATTATGTAATTGTGTTAATAAATGTAAATGTGAGAATCATCAGTTTGTGTTTGTTTCATTCACACAAAAGCATGAGCAACACTAAACGCATATCTGCGTCGATTTGGGGTTTCAAGGCCTGTTTGCAAGAGAAATGCAGAAATTTACTAGTATCACATGAGAAACAGTCCCACTGTATTAAAATTAGACTGCTCTAAAATTGAACTGCTCTATACACAGAAATCCTATATTTAACGTTTTCTGACACAGTATGGTCAATACATATGTAGCCTACAATTGTAATCAAAATTATTCAACCCCCATTGCAAATCATGTTTATTGGCAAAATTTACAGACTTTTAGCTGTTAACAAAGTACAAATCATACAAAGGTAATTAATATACACTCACCTAAAGGATTTTTAGGAACACCATACTAATACTGTGTTTGACCCCCTTTCACCTTCAGAACTGCCTTAATTCTATGTGGCATTAGTTCAACAAGGTGCTGAAAGCATTCTTTAGAAATGTTGGCCCATATTGATAGGATAGCATCTTGCAGTTGATGGAGATTTGTGGGATGCACATCCAGGGCACGAAGCTCCCTTTCCACCATATCCCAAAGATGCTCTATTGGGTTGAGATCTGGTGACTGTGGGGGCCATTTTAGTACAGTGAACTCATTGTCATGTTCAAGAGACCAGTTTGAAATGATTCAAGCTTTGTGACATAGCATTATCCTGCTGGAAGTAGCCATCAGAGGATGGGGACATGGTGGCCAAAAAGGGATGGACATGCTCAGAAACAATGCTCAGGCATTTAAACGATGCCCTATTGGCACTAAGCGGCCAAAAGTGTGCCAAGAAAACATCCCCCACACCATTACACCATCACCACCAGCCACGTTTACGCCAAATTCTGACTCTACCATCTGAATGTCTCAACAGAAATCGAGACTCATCAGACCAGGCAACGTTTTTCCAGTCTTCAACTGTCCAATTTTGGTGAGCTCTTGCAAATTGTAGCCTCTTTTTCCTATTTGTAGTGGAGATGAGTGGTACCCGGTGGGGTCTTCTGCTTTTGTAGCCCATCCGCCTCAAGGTTGTGCATGTTGTGGCTTCACAAATGCTTTTTGCATACCTCGGTTGCAACGAGTGGTTATTTCAGTCGAAGTTGCTCTTCTATCAGCTTGAATCAGTCGGCCCATTCTCCTCTGACCTCTAGCATCAACAAGGCATTTTCTCCCACGGGACTGCTGCATACTGGATGTTTTTCCCTTTTCACACCATCCTTTGTAAACCCTAGAAATGGTTGTGCGTGAAAATCCCAGTAACTGAGCAGATTGTGAAAAACTCAGACCAGCCCGTCTGGCACCAACAACCATGCCACACTCAAAATTGCTCAGATATCCCTTCTTTCCCATTCTGACATTGAGTTTGGAGTTCAGGAGATTGTCTTGACCAGGACCACATCCCTAAATGCATTGAAGCAACTGCCATGTGATTGGTTGATTAGATAATTGCATTAATGAGAACAGGTGTTCCTAATAATCCTTTAGGCGAGAGTATCGCAACACAACAAGTGGCTTCCCCAAATTCAACTGAAAATGCAACTATTAATGACTTCTGCAGTCTCAAAATTATTCAACCTTACCATGGCAAGCATGTTTAGTACTTAGTAGAACACCCTTTTGCTGTTATGAGCTGCTGCAAACGAGATCTATAACCAGACAGCAGCTTCTGGCAGAGTTTCCGAGGGATCTGAGCCAGTTCCTCATGATCAATGGCCGCCAGTTCAGTTATATTCTTGGGTTTGCATGCTGCAACCACCGCCTTCAAATCCCACCAGAGAATGCCCACCACACACCAGTTTATTGGTGGAGAGGAGACAATCAGTATGGGGATGATAAGGAGCAAATTTGGCCAGGATGCCAGGGTTACACCCCAACTCTTTTTCTGAACCACAGAGAGTGAGGACAATGGTTTAACGTCTCATCCAAAGGACAGTGCTCTTTAACAGTACAGTATCCCCCTCACTTTACTGGGGCGTTAGGACCAACACAAACCACAGGGTGAGTGCCCCCAACTGGACTCACTAACATCTCTTCCAGCAGCAACCTGGTTTTCCCAGTAGGTCTCCCATCCAGGTACTAACCAGGCTTAGCCCTGGCTGCTGACAACACAGAATCCTAAAACTGATGGCTTATTTATGTGATTTTGAGCACTTTCTTGTGTTTTTGGGTCAGTAGTGGTGCATGTCTTGGAGTTCTGGCATGCCTTACTGTTCAGCTGAAACCTCCAAGTCAAAGTCCACCAAGTCTTGCTGCAGGTCTTCTACAGTCACTCGAGGGTTTTTCTGAACCTGCCTTCTCAGAAATTTAGTTGCAGCCAATGATGCCTTCCTTTTTCTGCCCCGTCTAGGTAGAGCAAGCACTCATCCTTTAACTTTGAACTTGCGAACTATGCTTCCAACGGTGTCTCTAGAAACATATAATTCCTTCGCTATTGTTCTATATCCTGTTCCTTGTTTGTGAAGAGCGATCAAATCTTCTCTTAACTTTTTGGGCCTTTCTTTTGACGTATTTCTGACATGCAGGCAAATGTGACACTAACCTAACCAGTTCAGATATTTTGTGTGTTCTAGCTCAATCACACCTGGTGCAACTAATGAAGCCCTTGATTGGTGGCATCAGGTGTGTTTGAGAATGAGACGACAACTGTTTTGCAGATTTGTGCTGTTGTGAGGGATTATATTCAGGGGGTTGAATAATTTTGAGACTGCAGAAGTCAGTAAAAGTAGAATTTTCAGTTGAATTTGGGGAAACCACTTGAAACATTTGAGCTATTTCAAGTACTTTTGTTTAATTTGTTCATTGCAAACTGCTAAAGTCTGTAAATTATGCCAATAAACCTGATTTGCAATGGGTGTTGAATATCAACAGTCCAAAGTCAAACATTTAGGCACATTTTTTATTGTTATTTTTATTTATTATTTTGCAGATATCAACAGCTTAAAGTGAAACATATTTTGTAATTGTATTTTTTGTTTTGAGGAATTTGGCTTTTTTACAGTTTTTTAAATGTTATTACACTTTTATTGTGTTGTATTTGTTTTATATTTTTTGTTGTTTTTATTGTATTTATAATTTTGCTTTTTGCAGACATCAAATTTTATTGCAGCTTTTTTATTGTCTTTTTTTTACGTATTTATTAATAATTAATTTTAATATTATTTGCAGATATCAGTTTTAGTCAGTGGGTATTTTAAACAACCAGAAAAAAAATAGTGCAATATTGGCACAGCAGGTGAAAGAGTCCATAGGGACGCATGGTTTTGATTTTAAGACTTGTTTGTCCCGATGCGAACAGACCTTCAGCTCTAATAGAGAGCATCAGTTTACTTCAGTCTCTAAGCTCTCAGACAAACACTCTCCTGCAGCTCCTGTCCAGCGTAATGTGGTTTTCTGGGAGTGAATAAATAAGATTTCATTTTCAAGCCTTTTCGTGGAGATTGTATTCCTCTCAGGGTCACGAGAAACCAGTTACGCTCTGAACGGCGGTTCATAGATTCACAAAACGACAGTAAGAACAGATGCACGTCCTCAAAAACGCTTTCAGTTTGAAATATTATGCCTGTTATCAGCGCTGCGAGAGAATTCATCATTTTAAGTGTGAAAATACAAGCTCTGCGAGCGCAGCGGAGGAGAAATGAAGATCAGGCAATTCAGACTTCATCTGAGCAGCTAATTAACTCAAGTGATTGATGATGATGATGATAATGGTGATGATGATGAAGATACAGCAGGCAGCCAATCAGCTAAACTCTGTGATATTTGAATTCCCTGGTTCTTGGGTAAATAATGATAATCAGT